CCCCCGCGGGTCAACTGCCTGCGGCCGAGCCCGGCACCGTGCCCGTGCGCCCGCCCTCCCCACCTCCCCCGAACACCAGAGGCAGCTCCGGCACCGAGATGTCCAACCGGGGGCTCTGCCGGGAGCTGGGACACAGCCTCAGCGCCCCAGCTGAATGCACAGCTAAAGGTTGGCTTTTTCAAGTACAGTCCGCAAAAAGACCTGTTAGAGCCATTACTGGACCCCACGCAAGATAAACCTCTTGTGGATCAGTGTGCTACCCTGGTAAAGAAAGGATGAGAGCTATGTCAAGCAGGCCCCACAAACTGTGGATGCCCTGGCTGACACTGGAGCAGAGGCTTCCTTAATATATGGGAACCCCAGGAAAATGAAGGACAACCTGTAAATTATCACAGGTTTGGGAAGAAAACAAATTGAAGCTGTACAAACACAAATAGAAATTAAAATAGGAAACCTCCCAAGACAACTGTGACTGTCCCCATTCCTGAATATATAATAGGTACAGACATTCTAAAAGGACTAACCTTAAATCTTTCTGATGGTCAGTATCAATTTAGAGTTAAACCCTATATTAGTATCAGACCTGTTACAGTCAGTATAGTAAAAATGCCTCCTGCGCAGATTCCAGCTGCAACTGAGTCACAATGAAGCAATATAGAATTCCGGGAGAACATGAAGAGATATTGCAGACAATTAAAGATTTACTAGATGTAGGAGTTTTAAAGCCAACCACCATAGCTTGGACCAATCCAATATGGCCTGTCAAGAAAAGTTACGGATCCTGGAGAATGACGGTGGATTTTAGAGATGGAAGGTGGCAGATTTACAACTATTTTTGTAGCAATGGGGAATTCGGCATAAGACAGGTATTCCTCATAACCCCACAGGACAGGCAATAGTCGAACGTGCACATGCTACAGTAAAAGCTTTTCTTTTAAAACAAGGGAGGGGGAATTCTCTGGACACACCCCCTAATCAGCTGTCGATGGCTTTATATACTCAATTTTTTAAACAGAAATCGTTTTGCCTTGACAGCAGCAGAATGTCATTTTAGCACCACAACAGACTCTATAATTAAACCACGGGTCTTGTATAAGGATCCCAAAGAAGACCCATCCTGGAGAGGACCAGTAGATCTGCTGGTATGAGGGCAGGGGCATGCTTGTGTTTTATCACCCACAGGTCCTTGGTGGATACCAGCAAGGAAAGTCAAGCCATATCATGAGCTGGAAGGAGCAACCTACCAACCCAAAATAGACCCCTCAACTGATGATGCAGGGATCAACACGCAGGCAACCAGCACTTGGTGAAATCTAAACCAACTACAACAGAAAGCAGAAGACATGGTGGCAGTGGTGGGATCCCGATGTACCAGTAGCCAATAATGACACACAGTGGACTGGAGGAGCTTGGCTTCCTCCTCGAGACACATAGAATCAGTCATATCGTTTGAGTGTCGCCAATATAGCATTATATGCGGATGCCCCCGTGTGTGTGTGTGTCCACAGGAGGAGGGGGTGCACGTGTGCCGCTGCAGCCACAACAGCACCTGTATTTTAGACTGTCTGTGGAACTCATCCATATATTTTGCTGGCTGGAAAAGAGGCACAAATAAGCAATAGTGCTGGTCAATATAAGATCATCATTACAGATCCTCACTATTTTAGTTGTCTATCTACGGAAAATGCATCTAGCCATAAGCTTACAGTAATTTTTCCTTCGAGATACAGATCTGAATTTGTAGTACTAAGGCCTGGATAATAGGCCTGAAAGAAGTTGACCTCTAGATGAACATTATAACTAAACATTATTCCATTATTAGTATTTGTTAATTAGTAAAATCTGTATTAGCATTATTAGTATTTGATCATTACGAAGTATCTAGGCTTACTAGTCACGAGTGAAAGATGTAGCTTAGGCAAAATGCAATTAGTAATAAGGATGAAATGCTGTGAGAATGTATCCAGCTTTCTTTGTTTAGCAGTGTTGAAGATTAAGAACCCAAGTGTTTGACCTTGTTAGAAACTCCCTTGGTTTTCCCCCTCGAGTCCTGGCCAGGCTTTGGGTGGAATCCAACAGGAGGATGAAACCAGATGTTTCTGATCAAAGAAAAGTGCAAGTTATTCTGGCTTTCTGTTCTTGGTATATAAGGCTGGACTGGCTTGCTACAACTTTGGATGCCTCACCTACGGATGGACGCACTGCATAGGATTTCACACTTGCAGGGAAAGGTCCTCCAAATCCTCACTACAAGCAGGGCTCCCCAGCATCTGCAGATCTGGATATTAGCACCCCATTGTGTAGTAACAATTAGGTGCATTTGCCTTGTTTAATTATATATAGTAATAAGTAAGTGTACTATTCTGTACTTTTCTTACTGATTATTTTTGTAGTACTTTAATTACTGGTAGTGGAATCAGCCTACTCTTTTCACTATGATGTCTGAGTTTAATTGGCATCCTCGATCAGCAGAACAGCATTATAGTTGCCAGTCAACTTTATGCACCCTTAAGAGGATGACTCTGAAGTGTCTCAAGTAGACAAGCAATCTGCAACCACAAGTTACCAAACTACATAATTCATTACAGCATGAATTAATTGAGGTTCAGAAATTAATGCATGATGACATCATGAGAGAGTTAGGTGAAAGTTTATCATGGCTCAACCCTAGGTCTGCAGGTGTGAACCTATGGATGTGGGTTTTAGCAGGCCTGAGATGTTTTACAGGATTTGCCATCCTGCGACGTATATGATGCTTCCTGTCCACAGTGTGGAAGGCCGAACCGCAACGGAGTGCAATGATTGCCATGGAAACGAAAGTATAAAACAAAGAAGGGGGAGATGTGGGAATTAAGATGTGGTGGATAGAAAAATGTAAACTGACCTTGGGGGTAGAAGAATGATTGTGGATAACTGAGGCAACATTACGTAACACTGTGTTGTGTGAAAAACAGCAGTAAAAAAACACCGCCTGCAGAGTGTGGTGAGCACGTAAGCAATAAACAGGCAAAACCTTAAGGTCACTAGGTTGTAGAAGTGAAAACAAACCTATGTAAACAGGTAGTAATAAATTGGGAGCTGGCACACGGTGCAGCCACATTTTCTCTTAGCAATGCTCCCCCTTCAACAAACTGGCATGAGTTTGTCATTATTCTGTGCGTCACCCCAATCCTGGACGGTCTGAGACTGACAAATAGAATCTGCAGGACTGCATCCAGGTTGGGGGTTGTTTGTATGAGAAGGATAGTGACATAACCAAGATAGTCAGGGGGCTGCAGAAGGTGTTGTAAAGGGAGACTGAGAGAACCAGGCCTCTTCAGCCTGGAGAAGAGACAGCTGAGACCTTATTGTTGCCTACAACTACATAATGGGAGGATACAGGTAAGATGGAGCTAGACTTGTCAGAGGAGCTCAATGATAAGTTGAAACCTGTGAAAATCCAATTAAATGTCTTTTTTTTTTTTTTTTTTTTTTTTTTAGTACTATGGGAGTGGTTGAATATTAGAACGTTTCTGAAGAGAGGCTGTGGATCTCTATCCCTGGAGTTGTCCAAGAGCCAAACAGACATGGCCCTGAGCAACCTGATTGAATTAGACCTATTCTGAACAGTAGTTTGGACTGGAGGAGTCTGGTCCCTTTCAAACCAAGTTTTATGATTCTGCGATCAAGTTTTTGATCCACACCAACTTAAACCATTTTGATGCAGATCAATCTGTGGACTCAATATCTACCTCAACTGCATTTCAAACAGATACTTTTTATGGGAATATATTTCTGTGTCTCCCTGTAATTAACACTAGAAGCATTTTTGCCCTATATGAGCATCTAATATATATTACCATTGACAAACAATCTCCCTGTGTTAAGTTTTGTCTGGAGAAAGTACCAGTTCCAATTCTCCTTAATGTATCCTTGTGAATTTCAATAAAGCCACTGTATTGAGCACCAGCTGCAGAGAGGTAACTCAGTGACAGTATTTCTTTTCTAAACTGACTCATGGCTGAGAATACTAGAGAAAAATTTTATTGGAATATGCTGATGACAGTTTGCATGAGTGTTAAAGGCATGAATGTGTTATGACAGTTTAATCATCAGTAAATAAAGATAAGTGCTGATACAGAAAAAAGGGGGCTGTTCAGACAAGCAAACAACCCCTAGGAGTAAAAAACTTGTCCTGAAACATGTTGTGTCTTTTTCTGTAACTGTTTCTAGGCAGTTTAGTACATTTTTTTCCCAATTATTTTCACTGTAGTTTATTTTAGTCTTTCAATGTTTATAGCTACAGTACTTTCAACAACCATAACATCCATAACAACCAGGGAACTAGTAGAAATCCAAGGAAGTATCAGAGGTCTTGGACTGATTTCCTGATTGATCAAACAGGAGTTAGAACACTAACTCCTGCAGACGGACCCTGAGCCAGTAAAGTCAATCTGATGGAGACCTGTCAATTCAGACAGGTGTGGACCCCCATTGCTTTTTGCTTTTCTTCTCAGTGGCTGAGACACCAGTCATCCAGTATCATGACAAGATTTCTGCCCTGTTGGGACATGGTGACAGTTGCATGAGAACACCAGTTACAGATAATTGCATGGTGAGAAATTTACACCACACCACACCTCCACGAAACACACCTCATGGCCATGTCCTGTTTCTGTGCAACGTAATGCTAAGACCTTGGCCCCAGCATGTTCCCACAGCTTGGGTATCCATCCATTTCAAATGGAACCAAGTCACATGAAAAAAAAAATAAAAAATAGGGAATTTTAGGGAAACAGCAGTTCCTTATCATGTTTTTGTGTCCAATATTATATTTCTATTGGTCTCAATATTCAATCATTGTAAGAACAACTTTAAGCCATTTATCAGTTTTTATAATGTGTTTCATGCAGTTGATAAGCCTGTTTATAAGATTGAAACTGATTTTAATAAAGCTCAACAGAATCCACATTTGGTGGGTTTATGCAGCAGCCTGTTTGAGGTAGGAATGAACAGAACAAGTTACATGGATTTTATGAAATTAGAGAGCTTTGAACACAGAACATTAGCTTGTTCTGTTAATACAGGACCCTTGGGGTACATACACAGACTCTCTTGAATCTCTCTGCGCACAATAACACTCCCTACAGATTTTCTTTCAATCCTTTGGTCTTGCTTACAATTTTGAAGAGCTCAGTCAACATAACTGTGTTGAAATCAATGGGTATTCAAAAGGGATTTGTTTTTTTCTCTTCCCACTGTGTTTTTCAGTTCTGTGATCTTAGGTTATTTAGGTTGATAGCCACATAAGCTGTCACTAATTGCTGAAGGGCAACCTATCCTCCAGTAAGCGTATTACATCCAATTTCAGTGCAGATAAAATTAGATTCCTCCAATTTTAGGATTTCATTGTGAAAAAATGCTTAGCGTGTTGTAGAAAAAAAAAATAAATCTACATATTCAGTCAGTGTTTCACCATCCTCCTCAAATGTGTCATCCTCCACTCAGAATTTACAACTAAGCAAATCTTACTTCACGGGACCTCCAAGTGTCTGGTGCTCCGAAGCTGTTGCCGAAATCAGGGCGACCAAGTGCCCCGACCAGACACGAGAGCCAGCGCCGGCGTGGCCTGCCCCCGGCAAAGGTCCCACCCACCCTGAGCCTCACAAGCAGCCAGCGGGATCCGCCACGGGCCGCTGCCCCTCCCGTGGGGACCCCACCCCAGGCGCGACCCGAAGCCAGAGCACGAACCCCGCCACTGCCAGCTGCCGCGGGCACGGCCACCGCACCCAACGGCCGCGATCGCCACCCTCCCAGCGCACCCAGAGAGAGCAGGGGCGCCTGCTGGCGCGGTGCAAGGGCCCCACACTTTTGGCTATTAATAATATC